GAATCTCCCTTGTCCTCACCACCAAAGATAACCATTATTCTGATTTCCATTCCCATCTGTTAGTTTTGTCTGTTTTTGAAGCTTTACAGAAACAGAGTGCTCGCTTCAGCAGCAAATACACTAAAACTGGAACAACACAAGAAGATTAGCATGGTCCCAGCACAAGGATGGCATGCAAATTGGTGAGGCGTCCCATCTTTTTTTATTATTACAGTAGTCTGTATTATTTAACATAAAAGAAAGATCAATATGAAAAATGGGATGAACTAATCAACAATGTAATTAAAGACAACAGCATTATTTGCCTGGGAAACTAAAGACAAAACAACTGAAAAATTATTAAAACTGTGGAAGGAGTCAATTTGCTGCTTATGGAATAAACATATACTGTAATCACAACGACATATACTATATACTATAGAATTAAAATAACATTTCTGGCTGGGCACAGTGGCTCACGCCTGTAATCCCAGCACTCTGGGAGGCCAAAGTGGGATCACTTGAGCTCAGGAGTTCAAGAGCAGCGAGGGCAACATGGTGAAATTTCCAAAGAATAGGACTAACTCCACATGTAGCAGCTACATGTGGACAAGTATGAGTGTTTCCTGATTAAATAACCTAAGTGTCATCCCCATGAATGTATGTATACAAGTTTGTTGAATTGAAGGCTCCTCCAACTCCACTGGAGATAAATGCTATAAATGTAAGTAATACAAGAAACTCTCATCCAAATTAACTCACGTAAAACAAAAACAAAACAAGAAAAATTTGCCACATCAAGGAAATGTTATAAAGTGTGTTAACTATTGTCTTTACCAGTGACGCATTTATAAAGTGGATCTGAACTATAAATTACTACTACTTACTTGCATTTAAAAAAAAAGGATGTGAAATATTTTTGTAAATTTTCTTTCATTTTTTTTAAGATGGAGTTTCACTCTTGTTACCCAGGCTGGAGTGCAATGGCGCGATCTCAGCTCACGGCAACCTCCGCCTGGTTCAGGCAATTCTCCTGCCTTAGCCTTCTGATTAGCTGGGACTACAGGCACGCGTCACCATGCCCAGTTAATTTTGGTATTTTTAGTAGAGACGGGGTTTCACCTTGTTGACCAGGATGGTCTCGATCTCTTGGCCTCCCGAAGTGCTGGGAGTACAGGCATGAGCCACCAAGCCTGACCCTGTAAATTTTCTTTACCCAAAGGTTCACTGCAGCCACAACAAAATCATGTCCTTTGTAGCAACATGCATGCAGCTGGAGATCAGCATCCTAAGCTAATCACTGGGTAAACATGGGAACAATACATACAGGAAACCACAGAGAGGAAAGGATGGGAAGAAGTGAGGGTTCAAAACTACCTACTGGGTGCTGGATACAGTGGCTCACGCCTATAATCCCAGCACTGTGCGAGGCCGAGGTGGGCAGATTGTTTGAATCCAGGAGTTTAAGACCAGCCTGGGTAACAGGGAGAAACCCAGTCCGTACAGAAAACAAATTAGCAGGGCATGGTGGTGCATGCTTGTAGTCCCAGCTACTCAGGAGGCTGAGGCAAGAGAACTGCTTGAAACCAGAAGACGGAAGTTGCAGTTAGCTGAGATTGCACCACTGCACTCCAGCCTGGTGATAGAGCAAGACTCTGTCTCAAATTAAAAAAAAATATTAGCAAGGCATGGTGGCCCACCACTATAGTCCCAGCTACCCAGGAGACTGAGCTGGGAGGATAAGCTGAGCCCAAGAGATCAAAACTACAGTGACCAGTGATCATAACACTATACTCCAGCCTGGGGGAACAGAGACATACCCTGTCTCAAAAAATTAAACAAAACTACCTACTGGGTGCTATGCTTACTACCTGGGTGGTGGGATCAATTGTACCCTAAACCTCATGCAATATAGCCGTGTAACAAACCTGTACACTATTATCATTGGGAGAAAAAGAGAGAAAATACATGGTGCTAATTTAGAACCATACAAATAGTTTGACAACATTTTGCATTTGTGTATTTGTTGAAAACAACTATCAATAAAAGACTATAATTGTGTCCTGTTCATTCATATGACTGACTACTACACAGCTATTAAAATAAATGAAGGCAGGTGCAGTGGCTCATACCTGTAATCCCAGCCATTTGGGAGGCTGAGGCTTGAGAATCACTTGCACCTGGGAGGCAGAGGTTGCAGTGAGGCAAGACTGTGCCCCTGCACTTCGGCCTGGGTGACAGAACAAGACTCTGTTTCAAAAATATTGATAATAATAATACACATATATCAACATAAATAAATGTCATTTTTCAAATTATAGAATACATATCATACACATTCTAAAATATATGTATTTGAAACATAATAATACTACATGTTAAATATATAGAGATATTCGTAGGAAGAATACAAGTACATGGGCTAAAAAGATAAATAACTTCTGCATAATAGGATCTAAGAGGATGACAAAAGGGACTCCAACTGTATACTTGAGACAAAATTTCACTCTTGTTGCCCAGGCTGGAGTACAATGGCATGATTTTGGCTCACTGCAATCTCCGCCTCCTGGGTTCGAGCGATTCTGTTGCCTCAGCCTCGCAAATAGCTGGGATCACAGGCATGCACCACCGGGCTGGGCTAATTTTGTATTTTTAGTAAAGATGGAGTTTCTCCATGTTGGTCAGACTGGTCTTGAACTCCCAATCTCAGGTGATCTGCCCGCCTCGGCCTCTCGAAGTACTAGGTTTACAGGCATGAGCCGGTATGCCTGGTCGCATATTTAAATGTCTAAAAACAAATATAGGCCAGGTACAGTGGCTCACCCCTGTAATCCCAGCACTTTGTGGGGCCAAGATGGGCAGATCACTTGAGGTCAGTTCAAGACCAGCCTGGCCAACATGGTGAAACAAAGGTGAAAAAGCTTGATATGTGGGTGCCTCATGAGCTCACAGAAAATTTAAAAAGTTGTTGTTTTGAAGTGTTGTCTTCTCATTCTTTTTGTAATGATGACAAACCAGTTTTTGATCAGATTGTGACGTGAGACAAAAGTGGATTTTACACGAAAACAGTGAAGATCAGCTCAGTGGTTGGACCACGAAGACACTCCGAAGCACTTCTCAAAGCCAAACTTGCAACAAAAAGAGGTCATGGTCACTGTTTGGTGGTCTGCTGCCGGTCTGATCCACTACAGCTTTCTGAATCCTGGCAAAATCAACACATCTGGGAAGGATGCTCAGCAAATCGATGAGATGCACCGAAAACTGCAACACCTGCAGCCGGCACTGGTCCACAGAAAGGGCCCAATTCTTCTCCACAACAACACCCGACCCCACATTGCACAACCAACACTTCAAAAGTTGAATGAACTGGGCTACGAAGTTTTGCCTCATCCATCATATTCAACTGATCTCTCGCCAACTGACTACCACTTTTCCAAGCATCTAGAAAAATTTTTGCAGGGAAAATGCTTCCACAACCCGCTTTCCAAGAGTTCATCAAATTCCAAAGCACAGATTTTTACACCACAAGAATAAACAAACTTATTTCTCGTTGGCAAAAATGTGTTGATTGGAATGGTTCCTATTTTGATTAATAAAGATGTGTTTGGGCCTAGTTGAAATAATTTAGAATTTGCAATCTGAAATCATGATTAATTTTGCACCTACCTACATTTATTACCTCAACTGATCCTCAAATTTTTTTTTTTTTTTTTTTTTTTTGAGATGGAGTCTCCCTCTGTCACCCAGGCTGGAGTACAGTGGCACAATCTTGGCTCACTGCAACCTCCGCCTCCTAAGTTCAAGCAATTCTCCTGCCTCAGCCTCCTGAGTAGCTGGGATAACAGATGCTTTATACCAAGCCCAGCTAATTTTCCTATTTTAGAAAAATGGTAGAGACAGGGTTTCACCATGTTGGCCAGGCTGGTCTCAAACCCCTGACCTCATCTGCCCATCCTGGCCTCCCAAAGTGCTGAGATTATACGTGAGCTACCACGTCTGGCCTAATCTTACATTTCCTGTTCTTTAAGAGACGGGGTTTTACCATCTTGGCCAGGCTGATCTCAAAATCCTGACCTTGAGATCTGCTCGCCTCAGCCTCCCAAAGTACTGGGATTACAGGTGTGAGCCACCTCACCCAGCTATTCTTAGTCTTTAAAAGAATAAAGTAAACCCAGATAATAACAAATGTCTTAACCCAGAAATCTAACCTTTTTGAATGATGTTCTCCATCCACAGAAGCACTTAATGCACTATAAGTGTGCAGTAAACAGCAAAAGCCAACAGGCGCTAATCACTTAAACTCTAGAGGATATACGGCATAGCTCTTCCTAAAATATCACCAGATGGGTATACAAACTTAGACTGGCTCAACTCCCAGCTGTATATTAACACCAAAACTCTAATGAGTCTTTACTGTCATAATAAAAATCATTTGCCTAAATATCTTCCAATCCGTATTAGATCCCATCTGAATTGCTACAACTCCACTTGATAGTTAAAACACACTGCAACACACACAAGCAGATACAGAACTTGGGAGTTCGAGCTGAGTTCTGTGTTTACAGAGTCCATACAAACTGCTATTTCTTAAGGTGTCTTTCATCATTCTCAATCAGCTTATAAACAGAAAAACTGGATGGCTAAGTCCTCTTGTGTTTAACTGTGATCAAATCCCAGAATGTCTTTAGTCATAGTGGAGTTCACAATGATAAAGTTCAAATCAGCTTACCTGCCCCATTCCTCCCATACTACTTCCTACAGCTGCCATTCCTCTTGAGAACTGGAGCCAGTTAACCAACCACTTTCTCAATGGTGACTGTGACTTAAACCTTCACAAGACATCCACTGAAATATAAAGACTTTAAAATATCAGGTTTTGGCTGAGCATGGTGGCTCACACCTGTAAATTTCAGCACTTTGGGAGGTAAAGTGATCACCTGAGGTCAGGGGTTCATGACCTGGCCAACAAGGTGAAACCCCATCTCTATTAACAAAACACACAAAATTAGTCAGCTGCAGTAGCTTGTGCCTGCAATCCCAGCTACTTGGAAGGCTGAATACAAGAATCACTTGAACCTAGGAGGCAGAGGCTGCAATGAGCTGAGATCACACCACTGCACTCCGGCCTGGGTCACAGAGTGAGACTCCATCTTAAACAATAAAAAATAAAATAAAATACCAGTTTTCCTTCTTATAAAATACGTAGCTTTGTGCAGTGGCAGTATCATAGCCAATGAGGTTTATCCAAGGCGTGATTATTGCTAATTGAAAAGTAAAACATGCTCATTTTAGAAACCTGAGAAACTATAAAAGAATAAGAATCAAAAAAGTCACATTATCGCACCAAGAGAGAAATTAATCAGTACTATTATTTCCATTTCTGGACATCCAAGGTCTCCTCTATATGTAAAAGTATATTCATTCATTTACCAGACAGGATTTTAAGTACTGGGGGAAGTAGCCTACTAGTTTTTTGGAAGACTAATTTTCTTCAGTGTAAAGAAGTTACACTTACTGCTGAGTAAGTCAACCATATGTACAGGAAACTGAAGAGAGTGACAAAGATGAAGGGAATCATACTTGCTCTTTTTCATTCACTCACAGCAAACCATGGAGTCCATGTTTTGGGAACATTTTTGAGACCATTATTTCTTTATAAATAGCAGCCCACTTAATAAACAAATACGTATATACAAATATGCATAGACATATAATACATACAAATATATACACAAATATACAGTCTTGCCACAGGCGTTACACAGTGAAAGGAATGACATTAAGAGTATTTTTTGTCACCATTAAAGTATCTTAAGAGAAAGTAAAGGGGTATGTGAAAGGTTCATCTAAAATTCATGACTTCTTCCACAAAAATATTTTCTGTGCACATCAGCTGAAGGAACGATCTAACTATGGAAAAAGTAAGTGTTGGTTTTATAATGCTATAATTTTACATGTGTAAATAAATATGCAGGAGTTTAAACAGTTATTCTATAAACAGTAATAGCTTACTCTGTACCAGACACTGTATGAAGTGCTAGGGAGTAAGGGAGGGAACAGCCACCAGTCCCTACTTTTGCACAACCTTCAGTCTATCTCTTTAAATATGATGTCAAACACTAGGCATGTGGCCTCAAGGCTGATTAAATGATGATCTCAAATCCTTGTGATGATCTAAGATATATGTGAAAGTAGCTTATAAATCATGTTACCTAAGGTAAAAAGGGATATGTGGCCTTTTATGCAAAGCACTGTATACAGCAATCATCTTCAATATAAACTATCTCATTTCTTTTAAATGGCAAAAAAAATCATTCAAGTTGCTTAACATAATCTCTTTTCACAGTCTCTAAGATTTTAATATCATCTTTCTCTGCCAATGACCCGTATGACATAACTGAAATTAATTTCCCCATAACGGGGATGAAAAGACTCAATTTTTTCAAAAAGCCTTGTTTCCTAATTTCATAACTTATGGGGGTTGAGAAGCAGGCAGCCACAAATCAAAAGCAACTTATTCAAATTCAAGAAAAAATTATGTTTTAATCTAAGAATCATCATGGAAAGTTTGTTATAGGCTCAGGTTATTCCAAATAGAGTTAGTGAAAGGTTAATTGTGTTACTTTGAGAGCAAAGGAGAGCAAGCAGCAATTATTCATCCCTTCACTCAGTCTCTAAGACCTAATCTCTTTAAAAGCAGAGAGATACATATTACTTCCAAACTGCTTTCCAAAAACGTACTTTTAAAAAATATGCTCTACACAATATCAATTATTCATATTGAAAAGGAATAGACTACATTGCCTCTTACCCTATGATTCACCCTATTCAAATTCAGCCACCTCAACAATACAAAAATTATCAAACTGATGCTTTAAATTTATTTTTGCCCTTATTGCAGATATTGCAGATATGACTCTTTTTTTTTTGAGATGGAATCTCACTCTGTCAACCAGGCTGGAATGCAGTGGCACAATCTTGGCTCACTGCAACCTCTGTCTCCCGGGTTCAAGCAATTATCCTGCCTCAGCCTCCCAAGCAGCTGGGACTACAGGTGCATGGCACCATGCCCAGTTGATTTTTTTGTATTTTTTGTTTGTCTGTTTTTGAGATGGGGGTTTCTCCATGTTGGTCGGGCTGCTCTCAAACTCCCCCTGCTTCTGCCTCCCAAAATGCTGGGATTACAGGTGTGAGCCACCACACCTGGCCAATTTTTTGTATTTTAGTTTC